TAGCACCCCCTCCCCCCGCCTCTCCTTTTCACAACCCCTAAAAATAACGAATCCCATCCGTCTTGATCACAATGAAATTCTATTTATTCTGAGCAGGACACACACGCAGAAAGCACAGGAGCAGGGTAAGTAAGCCCTACAAGAAGCACTCTTCAACTACCACTAGTAAATCTGCATAAGCTTGAGCAAATTATCATGAAAGGTTCAGCAAAGAAAAGGGACACACATCATGATCGGAAGACCACCTAACGGGAAAACGATGACAAAACAAGTGACACGAAGAATCTAACAACACATCTGCTTCTTTGTCCGCTAAAACAGATTTTGAAACTACACATGTGTTTTTTAAGATAAAAAAGAAGGAAAAGGGGAAGTAAAAAATTAAAAAGGGACAAAAGGTAAGACGGATTAAACGAATAGGAGAGAATGCAGTTTACTTACAAGGATGGGACTGAACAGGTAACAAAGTGAAAGCTGTCGAATGATATTATGCCCACTGGAGGACGGACAATGGAGTTGAAATACACAAGATCTTTGATAGCCATTGCATTATTGGTATCTCTAGTAATTCAAGTATACTGTAGTTTGGGACTGTGTGATAGGATTGGGTGTGTGTGTGTGTGTGTGTGTGTGTGTGTGTTGGAGCGGGGATAGGTTCGGACAGGTGGTGGCTTGGAGACAGGTTAGGATAGGGGTGGGTGGCTAAGGTTTATCTCGGTGCGAGCACTTAAAGTTCTTATACACCCACACTTTTTACCCTTACCCTTAAAGAGACATGAGGCGCATTGTCAGCTCAATTGGTATCATACTGAACTACAGAGCGTGTGTTCCTAGTTCGAATCCTCAACAGGTCATTCTGAATTTAGGTTGTTTTGGCTGTTTCTAGTTGTTCTCTTCCAATTTGGCTAATGATGGACATTAAATTCGGGGACCTGCTTCCTACATAATTTTACAGAGCAGAAGAGGCTTTAACCTAGACAAAGAATGAATGAAACAGACTTCTTGCAACAGAACAGACCTAATCTCTCAGCGCAGGCTAATAAATGTCACGGAACTGAAACGAAAGACTTTAATGTATTTTGGTGACAGGACATTTATAAGAAATCTGACACGTAACTGCTGCACCTTCACAAGGCGGAATGATGCTACCTTTAAAAAAATGCCAACGTTTGCATTAGTGTAACTTGAAAAGCAAGAAGCAAAACAGTACACTATTATGTATGTGCGTGTACATGTGTGTGTGTGTGTGTGT